ATACCACTTCTCAGATCTCACCCAGTTTGAAACTGGATGGCAGTGCTGCTGAAAAACAAGTTCTGATTTAAAAGGCCTTTTTTGGTTGACCTTGCTGTACCTCACAGTATCAAATGATCTAAAATGTAAGACTAGAGACTAAATGTATAGTAAACAAAAAGTCCATGGTCTTAAGGAAAGCAAGGCCCACATTTTTGATCGTGGCTGAGGACCACTGCAAACTGTAGAAAAAAAAGTCTGTTGCTTTCTGTTGCATGACTAGTCATTTCTTCCTGTGCTATCAGGTTTTTACTTGCCTAGTCGTGTAGTGAGCATGGCTTTAGAGGGAAATGACTAGAAATGAGGCCTGGCTTCAAGAACTGGAGACAATCTGGATTCATACTCAGAGGTGTCTGGAAGAAATTTAGGAACTGCACTTGAGGGAGGACTGGTTCTTTGTTATACAAGTTTTTCCAGGGTGATGTGGACCTGTAATCATTGTTGAGCATGGCTAGTTATAGGTGTTCAGCGAGTGCTCACCTTCTCTGGGTACTAACCTCAATTGTGTTAGGCACTGCAGGAGGGGCACTCTGGATTCTGCCTATTTTGTAGCTGTTTTAAAAGGTGTAAGTGCACTCAAAAATATGTGACTTTGCAGGATGGACTGCAAAGTAGTGGTGGAGAGCTGCTCTGCTGCTTTCAGGGCCCATCAGGACCCTTTGTCAGCACAGAAACATCTTGAACATCTGGAGTGAAGTCAGGCTCCTGGTCCTTGTTGCAAATTTATGGGCTTATAAGACAGGCAAGTTCTTGGGTTTCTTTTTTTTTTTTTTCCCCTTATTGAAGGCATGCCTAGACAGCAGAGTCATGGCACTAGGTACTATACAGAGAAGTGGTAAGTTGGAGTCTGCTCAGAAACCTTATGGTCTAGTTAGAGCTAGCAGGCAAAGATTGAGGGAAGGGAAGAATTGTTCTTCCCTGGCTTTGTTATTAGCTGACCTGATTCCATGATAGAAAACCTCAGTTTCTTAACACTTAAAAGAAAAGTGACCTCAAGGATGTCACAAACTCTGATCTTCTGTGCTGGTGCTTGCTGTCATGGCAGTGACCACCTGCAAGGTTGCACAGAATTGCACCAGGCTCTCATGGCAGTCCCAGCACCCACAGGGCTGCTGGTGCTTTCAGAGTGCTCACCTCCCCATTCACACTGAGCTTCCACTTCTCCCAGCCTGCTCTTTAGTTTCAGTCTCACTTTTTTCACCAATAAAGAGCCCCTAACCACACTAAACATTTACCCCTCCTATGCAGCTTTGCAGGACTATGCAATAGCATAGGTTGTTCTTTTCCAAGTGCAGGAGCTTTTATCAGTCAGCCAGAACTGGGTTATTTTAGTATTCATGGTATGCAAGTGCAAAGCCTGTGTGTGTGCCAGCAGTGTCACTGGCATGCCTGTCCCAAACATCTGGGGTTTCATCTGGGGCTCTCTACTGAAGGGCGTGTGTTTTTCACAGCGTGCTGACAACTCTTTCTGTATTTCCAGTTGTGCTGCCTTCAGTATGATTTGCCTTCCTTGTCCAGCAGTTGTTCATGTCTGCTCCTTGCTTTTTCCCAGCATCTTTAAAATCTGCACATATGCTGATGATTTTGCGTCATTAATATCAATCTAGACAAGTCTGTGTGACCTTTAACTCCCCTGTCCAAAGGGAAGAATTGACCCTTGCAGTCAGTCACTGCACAGCACTGACTCATACATACTTTTCATAAAAATAATGAGGAAATTCCCCATAGTTTTTACAGATACTTTTTCAGGAGTTGAAGTGGAAGTCTTCCATAGCAACACAGTTTGGGAAAACTATGAAGCATGTAACAGATAATTAATCTTTTTTTCTGACATATGATACATTTTATAATATTAAATTTTTTTTCTTCTTCTTGTATCTCACTTGCTCAAACTCAACGGATCTGTTTGAGTTTCATTGGAGCTCATGTGCTTTCCAGTCTTATTCCCACCCTTGTCTGTTCTCCAGCTCCATTGTAAACCTCCTGGGAGGGGGCTGGGATTTGTCCCACCTCCCTGACTCTGTGATGAGGAACACAATGGGACCGTGCTTCCCCTTTTTTGCCCTGATTTTAGTACACTTTCTGTTTTTTCCTGCATAAGATAAAACATGCTGTGTTTAGGTATGTAGCACACAAAAAAGGAAAAAATATCTCTCAGTTTGAAGTTCTTTAAAAAAAAACTTTAACTAATGGTAAAACAAAACAACTAGGCACCCAAAAGTAATATCAGGGGAGCTGTTTACCACTGACATATGACTGTCGTGGGGAAATACCATTTCTTTACTTTCCTATATTTGATTATTTGTCACTTAAAAAAATAATTCCATTTATAATTAAGGCCAGGGTAATTCCTCAAGGTCTCAGTATCTGAATAGCTTTCCAGTGAATACTTAGAGAACTGCATTTTTTGATCATGCTTGCAGTAGTGGAGCCAAGGCAAGCTTTCTTAAAATATGGAGATGACTGAATACTTCTAAATTGTTATTTTTCTTTAAGGCAAAAAAATGCATATTTAAAAATCTTTCAAAGTAAATGTAATGAAACAGCTAGACTGCAAGATTTTGTCAAGAGTGAATTTGACCCATTAGCTTGGTTGCTTCTCTGCCATTAGAATCTCAAATGCCCTTTTATCCCACTTAGAAAAATCTGAAATTTACTTGATAGTATGATTTAAAGCAAAATATTTTACATTTGAAGACTTATAGTTATTTTCAGTCTTAGAGCAAGTTGGAAACTGAGGCAATCTCCAGTCACATCCTATATATCCCATACCCTAATGCTGAGATGTATTGTTTTTGTCAATATGGATGCTTTGTGGTGTACATATTCTAATGACTGAAGTGATTTTTGGCATAAGGAAGACTTATGCAGTGGTGGCAGTTTTTTGTCACATAGCTATGCCTATTTATTTCCAGTAAACTCCTTAGGGTTAGAGAGCATCTCTGGTTTAATATAGAAGGAATCTGACATAGCTCTGAGGAAGCTCAAGTGTTTGTGGAAAGAGCTGTTAATCTTTGATCAACTGGGGTCTCCTTGTTACTGACTTTGATTACACAAGTGTACAACTTTAATTACAGCTTTTAATAAGATTTCATTTCTTCCTAGTCACATTCTTTGTATAGTAGAGCAGCTTATCTTTTCTTTCTCCCCTGCTCCCCTTCCCTTCCCCCCTGCCTTTTTATGGAAAAGGGCGTTTGAGGTCATTGCAGGGGATTCAGTGTCTGGAGGGATCCTGCTGTACAGGCTCAGCCCATGCTGTACCCTCCACTTGCTTGCACAGCCCAGAGAGCTCTCTCCTTCAGCTGCCCTCCACATATCCCTGTGCTGGCAGCCACCCAGGAGCTGGTGGTCAGCAGGGGGAGGACAGGTCTGTGAGGCACAATGTTCACACAGGTGTTCACTGCTGCACAAAACCTCTAAAAACCCCTTAGGAAGTCTCTGTAGGCAAAGGATATTCTGACCTCCCCATCATTTGATAACCTGAGACTTGGGTAAATTGAGTTCTGATCATCAGAATTGAGAAGGGAGAACTTGAGGTGCCTCCCTTGGTATTTGCTGTATTTTTGTTCTTCCCTAAGCCTTATGGCCCCTGCCAGTGATAGGATATTGGTCCAGTATGGCCAAGATGAGAAGAGTCTGACTTCCATGTAAATCATAAGGTACAACTGAGGAGTCACTTAAAAGATGTGAGTCACAAAAAGATACAGATGGCAAAACAGAGCAATTTGCTCTGATTTGACATTCAGAGGTGTGCAAAATTTTAAAATGCCAGTTGTGCCTACAGAAGAGGATAGTGGGGAAAACAACTAATAGAACAGCAAATCTCTGTGCAATATCTCTGTGCATGCATCCCTTTGGTTCACTTGCTGTATGTGCTATACTCTTTTTGCACACTAATGAATATCAGAGTCAGAGCAAGTTATGCCATCTATCACTCTGCTCCTGTTTTCTAATGAACTTACCCATAACAGGTATCTTTCCTAGCTATTCGTGTCACGAGTGAATTTCACCTTGACAATAGATCAAAAATGAGGTTCAGCAGTGTGGCCCACCTACTTTGCAATGCTCCAGCATGACAGCTGCTTTGTGTCCTCAGGGTAGCTTTACTTTGATGCTTTTCCCTGTTTAGAAAAATTTGGAGGGAGGATTTTGGTAATCTCCAGCAGGCAGAGTTTTTAAACCTATCTCAGGGGAGGATGAAGATTCTACAGAATTTTTGAACAAACAGTTATTTATGAAGCTAGTGACATTGTCTTTAGAACTGTTATTGCCACTGGGCTCCAGAGAAAAGCAGCATTTGCCATGCTGGATCTGACTGGTCGCTGCTGTAGCCTGCTGCTCCTGGCACCTCAGGCTTCACTGTGGAAAACTCTGGAAGGCTTATGACAAAGCATCTAGTCTGACCATTGCAGATATGGCTCTAGTTATTCAGGGGTGTGTTTTCATGCCTCAGCAGCACACAATAAGAGAACCATGGTCCTTGCTCTTATGGGCTCTTTGGCACCAGAAATGCTGGAGCAAAGTTCTTCTAAACTTGGCTGGCTTTCTGGTTGCCTAAAACATACTGCAGCAGTTGCTGTAACATGGGTTTGAAATGACTGGTTTGCTGAATTGGCTGGACAAACTACAGGGGAAGGGAAACAATCAAATGAGTTCACTGTGGTGTACATGGGCCTGACCCTGGGTCATGGGGCAGTGTGATTGCATCATTTGCTCATTCAGTAGCCACGCTGCTACTGAAAAGATCTGTGTCTGGTTCCTGACAGCCTGATCTTTTGATGAATTCGACATCACTTTCTGCATGATCTGCTTCATCAGTGTCTCGTGTCACCAACATTTGCATCTGTCCAGGCAAAATTCTTCTGTTTGTCCATTTTCAAACCAACCTCACGTCCCCTTTTCCTACTCTTGTTGGAGGGGGCAGCTCAATCGTTCTCACTGTGCCCTGTCTCTCTTGGCAGCCTTGGGGACCAGTTCTACAAAGAAGCGATTGAGCACTGTCGCAGCTACAACTCTCGGCTCTGTGCCGAGCGCAGCGTCCGCCTCCCCTTCCTGGATTCACAGACTGGGGTGGCTCAGAACAACTGCTACATCTGGATGGAGAAGAGGCACAGGGGACCAGGTTGGTAGTGCTGTGTCTCTGTATGCACGTGCATGTACGGAGGGCTGGCCACTGAGCCCTCTTGGGGTTTAATTAATAGGAGCTCAAACCTGCTACAGGCCACACAGAAGAGAAACTGCCTAAACCTCTGTGCCTGCAGGGGATTTCCTTTGGTAACTGCAGAGAGCTCATGCTAATTACTCTCTCTATGCAAAGAGGTGCCTGACACGGTAGTTTCTAAGGCTGCATCATTGTAGCTCTTTTCATGCTATCAATCCCAGTCTGTAGCAGAAGACTCAATGCTCTGCTCTAAGAAAGACTGGAATTACCTCCAAGATGGAGGTGGGAGTTTTTTAGATGAATACTGAAAATAAGGAACTATATTAGGAAGGATATAAAACTGAAGTAAAATATAGGAGAGTCCATTAATTGAATGAATGTTGTTCTAATGGTTAGAAATATACCTATACATCCTGGTTCTGCTTTGGATAGGTTAACTTGGATATCAGTTCTGGGGCTGTGGTTCCCTTGGGTACAGAAAGAAGTTGGTACATTTCCTTAAGGAGCTTTGGCTAATGCCTGTTCCACAGCTCAGGGAAGCTCAAGGGAAAAGAGCACTGTTATTTTTGTAGACTTCGGTCAGTTGTTACTTTGTTAGACTAAATCCATCTGAAATCCCTTTTTGAAAGGCAAAGGACAGTCACCAGTCACCAAAGACTGAGATGTTGCTCAGACAGAAGTCCTTCTGAACCCCAAGGGGAATTTGGCTATGTTGTAGCTCAGTACCTGACCAATAATTAGCTCAGGGAAAGGATTTTTAACAGCACCAAAGTGTATTTCTAACTTCATTTTTTTCCCCTTCTTTAGTGCAGCCCAGAGAATCCAGGCAGGAAGGGACCTGGGGTGCATGGGCACTGGAAGTATGACATGCACACATGTGCATAAATATGTGCCAGTTCTCTAAACAATATTTACACCCTCCCACCTTCACCCTCCACCCCCTCAAATTCTAGATCTGAAATTATGGGAAGGTGAAGCCTGCTCTAATCTCCTCCACTGTCTGTTTACAGGAGATGAAGTGAGAGGAACACGCAGGATATTCCTTTATGCTCCTGGGGCTAAGAAAACAATTGCTGCTTCTCAAAAGTGCCTAGCTGAGTCTTAGCTGAAACTTTCCTTCTCCCCTTTCTAGGATACACTAAAGGAAGGATCTTTGTGGTCCTCCTATTACTAAAATATGAAAAGTAGATTTTGTGTTGTCTTGCAGTTCTACCAGAAAACTGTTTATATAATAAAATGCAGCCACTTCTGGTGCAGGAGACAACAGATCTTTTTACAGTGTTAAAAATATCCAAAGAATATTTCAGCTACAAAAACTGCTGGGGTAATTCAGGATGGCTGAACGTGGTTCGCAAGATGGGAGTTTTCTAAGCTTCTGGACTGACCCTTCTTTGGTAGGATTGCTTCATAACCACAGTCAAGTGTTTTGTTTCAGCTGAAAATTCTCTAATCCTAATTGATTATGCTTTGCATAAACTTCCCTTTCCCCTTTCCCACAGTCAGAAGATATATATATATACACACACACACACACACACACACAGGGGTATACATCCACTGTGTTCATGAGTAATGTTTTGTCAACAGCATCTTCCACAGAGACAGACACAGAAAGTCTTGTGTGGGTCTCATTGGCATTTGTACATGTGCAGAAGGAATCATCATAACTGTGTTACAGCATCACGCCAGGAACTAAGATGTCTTAATTCTTTGCCTTTCTCAGCCACAAGCTTTGTGGACTACTTTGAGCAAATTCATTCTGCAAATCTTTCCTTCCTCGCTTCTGATAGTGAACTGTTTGGCAGCTGCCCCTGCAGAAGGGGATAGGTGACATTTCTCCTGCAGGTCTGCACTGGATACTAATGGTGGAACATTCTTCACAAAGAGTATCAAGTGAAAGAAGCCTCCTGCATCTGCATGGGCCACCAAATCTGATGACTTTGTTTTGAATTAGAATAATCAGTGTGAAATGAACCAGCCCTCCTCCCCCATATTTGCTTTTCTCATTCTTGATTTTTATTAGCCCATTTAGTGCTCCCGAGTGTCTTTCTGTAATCTATTTCTTGTAGTATTATGGTGAGTCAAGGGATCCCTCTACAGTTTTAGCATGCCTGGTTTTGGCCTGTACACAATGTGCTTGTGCCCATACTAAAGGACTCTGAAAATTCTCTGCCAGCCCTCCCAGTATCTGTCTTATGTGCTGTGCTCACTACCATTTACTATACCTAACCTGAAAAACAAGATAAAGGCAAATGGCAAAGCTCCAGGACCTCTTTTCACTTACACAGACTTGAAAAACAGCGAAGACTCAGGAACTCAGCATATTAACCTGAGTTCTTGCTGTTCTCTTTGTTAAAGGAGTCAGAAATCTGCATCTCATGATAAACAGTTCAGGGTTAATTTCACACAATACTGCACATAACTCCCTCCTTTTCCCCTCCTCCTCTGGCCTTTTACACAAGCTTTGAGTTATTACTCTCCTACACTAATGAGATAAACAACATAACTCACTGCAGGTTCTGCTATTTCCTCTGTAAGCAAATGGTTGGAACCTTCTCTGGCTGCCCTATAAGGTACCAGAGAGAGAGACAACCCACAGAGGGCTGAAGATGGTGATATGCATTATTTCCATCTTCTGCAGGGTTGCCTGTAAAAGAGCTACATTCAGAGCATTCAGAACTGACCCTTTCTTTGTTGCCTCTCCTTTGTGTACCATCTCCAATTCATGTGAGCCAGCACAGAGACAGATGAGGAACAGGGCAGAGAAATGAAGGTAGCATTGGTGGGTTGAATGAAGTGAAAGTTTGGTAAGTGTTTTAAGTTCAGTGGATGGCAGTATATTAATGAACAGGCATGCTTTGAGTAGCAACAGAGAGCTTACCTGAAGGGTTGCAGAGGTGGATGTTGGATCATCTCTTTCTAATTGATCTACCTGCCACTCTCTAAGGAAGAGGCTCTCTCAATTCTCCTTTCAAGTTTCTAATTGGGCTTTCAGCATGTGTAGTTGGCTTTTGCTGTCCTGGCTGAATCCAGAACTGCTCTTTTTTATAGGAGTGCTCAAACTAGTAGATATTCTCCCCAGACTAGTAGATCTTTGCTCCCCTCTGTCTGGGACAAAAGCTGGTAATTATTCCTTCACATGGCTCCTCTGTGGAGGCCAGTGCAATGGAGGGCTGATTTTCTGTCCTATTGCTTTGATGTGGTAATTGCCATTTCAGTGTTGTCTTCAAGTCCTTGCACAGAACCTGCTGAGAAAGGGTGGGGCTTCTTGCCCCCACCTCTTTAATTACTCACATCAGAGCCAGGTACAATCCACCTTGTCATTATAGCAATTGTTTGCAGTGGTTAATGTTTGCAAAGTGGCATGAAGAAGGGTGTCCAAACACTGTATAAGTGCTAGTTATTCCCATTTTTATTTGCAAACCAGTCCTGGGCAACCTGTTCTGAAATGTGTTCTTCTGTGGACATTTCAGATGTGCACAATGCCCAGCCTTCTGGGCATCAGTGAAAGAAGGGCATGAAAAGTCCAAGTCAAATAACATTCTGTGCCCTGAAACAGCCAGAATCTCTGCAGGTACTCATCACTTGGCCATACTCAGGCAGTATGCTGTAGATGCTCCAAGGCCTTGGCAGTCGGTGGAAGGTGCTGGGGTCTGAACTGACATTCCCAACAGCTGAAATATTTAAAACCAGGAAATTAGGTCTCACCTGCAGAATTCAATGAGCACATTCCTTCAAGGTGAATTGTGTTATTGTGTCTTCCTCCCAACCCCCAAGTAAGAGAAGTAAGAGGATAATTGTTTTTTTTTTTAATCCTCATTTGGTCTGGTGAGTTGCTTTTGTTCCCAAGCTGGTATTCTCTCCTGGCTGCTTCAGAAGAGAGGAGAGAACTCTTGGGCCATCCTCCTGTCCTTGAGCTGTTCTGCTTTACTGGCACCCCCTTGATGCTGTCCAGCTGTTCACTGTCAGTACAATTTCAGATATAGCAACACCACTCCTGTTCTCTCTCTTATGTGGTCTTGCCTGATTTTTGAGGACAATGAGTCTGGAATTGAAGTCATGCTTTGTAGCCCCTTCAAGACAACAGGAACAGCAGAAGGGCAGAGGAGCCAAACCAGAACTGGTTGACAGAGAGGGCAGGAAAAGCAGAGGAGAGAATTAAATTCCTCTAACTTTTCTTGCTGGGTATTTCTGTGTGTCATGACTATCTGGGGCAGCTGAGGATACTTAGAAGCACTTGTCAGTGTGCTTCTGTGCCCTTAGCAGTGATGCATTCAGAAAGCCCTGCTGTGTCCTGAATGCAGGAGAGAAAAGTACAGCTTGAATATTGGCTGAAGGGTGTCTGTCAGGAGAGCCAGGGCAGCTCAAAAGCCAGTGATGCCAAATGTGATTTAAGGGAATATGCGGTGATATAAACATTATTGGTGTATCTCCTCCCTCATTCAGAATATTGGCATGAGGAAGTAAGAGTCAAAATGAAGAATTAGTGTTCAAACAGAAGTCCAGAATGTAAACAAAAATACAGAGTCAGACCTCTTGGGTCTTAGTTTGCTCCCATTTGGAAGACACAAATTTCCTGACCTGCTCTGTGCATCAGGGCCTCAAGATTTGCATGTCAGAACTTCATCTCTTCTCTCTCAAGGGGCTTTCTCTGCCTGTGGAGGAGGCATCACCCTTGTGACCCAGGAGAGTCTGAAATTCTATTTACCCTGAAGAAATCACAAATTATTTATGTGCAGCTCTGATTTCAGTGAGCTGAGTGAAGTGTCTAAGTGAGACCTAGATTCTCTGTAGGCCTGATCCCAAGAGGTGCTGAAGAGCCTCAGGAGCACTGGATGCCTTGAGTGTGTAGCTCTGCCTCATGATTTGCAGGTTGAATCCTCCAACAAGGAGATGCTGGAAGGGCAAGAACAAAGATGCTAGAGATGGTGCTTGTGGTTTACAAACTGAAATGTGATTAATTTTTTGCCTTTAATCTTCAGGCCTGGCCCCAGGTCAGCTGTACACATACCCAGCACGTTGCTGGCGCAAAAAGAGGCGTTTGCATCCCCCTGAGGATTCCAGGCTGAAGCTGCTGGAAATTAAACCTGGTAAGTATTTGTTTGCCTGCCTCTCCCGAGCTGCAGAGCAGCTGGCATACATGCAAACCTGGCATTTAGAACTTGCACTTTATCTTTGCTGCTTTCCAACCATTTCTCATTGCATCTGTTGCATCTTACTTGATTTGCTGTAACCATAACCACCAAACACTCTGCATACAACTCATCCCTTACAAAAAGGTGAACAAATTGTATTGAATGCTAGGGGAGCTGAATTTATCTTCTGTAGGGTTGAATCCTGGCTTCTTTTAGAAAATTAACAAGGATGTAAAGAATCAATGTATTACTAACTTTTCCTCAGTAACTTACTAGTGCAAAGTCTCACTGATTTCTGCTGCCTAATCTTTGTGAAAGAGACCACTGTGTGTGTGAAACAGTAAGTATAAGATAAGATTTTTCTTGGTGGGGCTGGTGACAAGGGCTATGACCAGATTATGAACAACAAATAATAAAAAATAGGCAGCATATGCCACATTTGTGTATTTCTGTCTGACTTTATGTGTACCTTTGTGTATTCTTTCATTCTTCTTGTCCTTGCTACTCTTCCACAATTAAACTATGTGAAGTGATGAGTCTGGATGCTGAATGAGTGACTGTAAAGCAGATGTGGAGGAGCTGCAGCTGTGTCAGGTAGAGCATAGTGTTGTGCATTCTTCCTTGCAGTTTGTAATAAAAGCTTGCTGTCTCTGGGGTCAGCTATTATGAGGAAGAGGGAACACATACACTCACAGCTGTATGTGGTTTTTAAGAGGTGAGACACTGTCAGTATAAAAAGTACAGGAGAAAACCCCCAAATGTAAATTAGAATATTTAAAAAACCTGTTTGACAGAAGGTGCCTGGGAACTGAGCTACACTCAGCAGTACTCATGACTTTGCTTCTATGCAGTAGTTGGTGGAGAGAGAGGAAAGGGCAACAGAGACAAGTTCAAAACCCATTAAAATCAGAGGCAAAATTCCTGTTGATTCTGGTGGAAACAGTTTTTCAAAACTCCCTACCTTCAGTATAGGAGACATCAATGGACAGTTGGAAAAGAGGAAGAAATTCCTATAACCAATCAGTTGGGGTTCAAATCAAGGGCAAAATCTCAGCCAGAAAATAGAACTAGACCTCACAGCAGAGCTGCTTAGAAAGAGCTGATGAAATCAGTCACGTACATTGATGAAAATGAGACTGGACTCTAGGAAGAGGATGATGTTGGCTTGTAAAAGTGCCTGCCTTAGACTTTGTGATGATGCCAGTACTGCTGTGCCTTGGTAATTTTGTAAGGTAAAGCAGGGTAGAGTTTGACTCTTTTTTTGTTTGCATTACTCTTTGCTATACTCACTGAATGCCAAATTAGTGCATTCCACATGCCACAGGGCATGAAAGGCAATTACCACAAAGTTATCAGATAAAGAGACCTCAGCATGTCTGTCTCTGTGTTGTTTTCCTGCTATAAACATCTCCTCTGCATCTCAGGAGTGCTACTTTTGTTGCATTGCCAGTGGCAACCAAATAAGGCGAGTTATATTGCTCTGCCATTTAAATCTATTTTCCAACCAATTTCTATCTAGTGATTAACTTTTCTTACCAGTTATACCACAGTTTCACTCCATCTGTGCATATCCAGAATAGACTCAGTAGCCCAAAGTGCAATTTTCCCCTTCTCTGATCTGAAAGTGTAAAACCTATGGAACACCTTAGACCTCCATTTAAAGGTAGCTTTGAGAATTTGGGAGAAAGAGAGTATAATTTATTTGTAATATGGACAGCAGAAATACTGTAAGTTTTGGAGAAGACTGTTGTAAAACCTAGTGCTGAACCTAGGAAGCTACCTAATGCTGACTTCTTTGTCCTCAGTTAAACATCAGATGGTTGTATGGGGAAAAGATGTGGAAATTTAAGATCTATTAAAAAGCACAGAGATGACAGCTGTAGGACGCATAAAATAAATTTGAAAGAAATCTAATCTGTGTGTTCCATAGTTTCACTCCACCTAGGGGTTGGGCATTCTGTTCATTCCTTAGAGCTGTTCTTAGCAGCTGGAAAGTGCTTATGCTTGGTTAATATGCAAATAGTTGATTTTTATAGAAGAGGCTGTGAAATTGTTAATATATTTTGAGAGATTTTTATAATTGTTATATGTCATGTGCAAGCAATGCACTTCTACAACATCAAATTAGGGCTAAACCTTAGTTGAATTATGTTAACTGTATAGAAGTACTTCTTGTAAAACAGCCACTGTAACAAACACAGAAGAGGATCTTTTCTCCAAAAGCTGCTATTCCAGCAGTCAATGGGATTGGCACCAGGAGTGTGAATACTTGCTTGGACTACACCTGGGCTTTCAGAGAGGCTTATTATAGCAAAAAGTTGTATTCAGAAGCTCCTGTATTCAGAAGACACATACATAACTCAGGAGAGACAAAGACCTAGGGATTTTTTTTGGTAAGTCATAGCCAGTCATGGGCTGGTCAGTAAGTAGAATCAAACTATTGTCTTCCCAGCAGTTCCAGGGTACAATAGATCATTTAGTAATAGTACAGTATAGTTTTAGGTTTATAGCTATAGCCTACTTTTGCAGTTTATGTAGTGCATGACACAACTCAGTGAGTGAGTTTCACATTTGGTAATACCAAAATCTAATGAAGAAAATAATCATGCTCCAATGGTCTGCTGTTTTTTGTAAAATGGAAGGTGCACTGTAATGTTTTTCCTGGGGTGAGTTGATGCCAGCTTCTTAATAGAAGATAGTAGTTTTTTTTTGTCCTGATATGTTGGTTTTATTTGGTTTAAAATAAAGGTGTTTGGTTTTAAGAATAGTTACAGCCAAAATTGTGCACAGGAATAGGAATTGCTGATGCAGCCTTTAGATGTCTATTTTCCTTGGTCACTGTATTCAGAGTTACATGGATGCATTGCCCCACTAAAGTGGTTTGTTCAAGGGTCTAGCAGTGTTCATGTTTGTGCTATTTCTATGCATCCTCCCTCCCATCCAGTAGCCTATCCAGGAGAAATTAAAGTATTGCCAACACTTAGTTATGATAGCGCCTTTACTGGCAATACAGTCAGTATTCCAACAAGATCTTCAGGATTTTTACTAAGTATTCCTGACATTTACTTTCATATGGCCTGATCTTCATCTTTCATCTGTAAATCATATTCTTACCATCAAAACCAAGCATTATGGCTCAAGTGTAGCCTAGAGTTCATTGTTATAATGGGCATGAGCTCTTACTTGAGTCATTATAATGTAGCAGTCAAGAATCCTATGAAAACTGGTACAGATTTGAAACAAATCCTGGGCCATGGGCAATATATTGTCGTGTTGCCAATACTGTGATTTCATAGGTTCATAAAATAGCAGATGGAAAGGGATCTCTGGAATCATCTGGTCAAACCTTTCTTGGCAAGAGCATGGTCTAGACAAGACGTCTCAGCACCCTGTCCGGACAAATCTTAAAACTGTTGGGGAATCTACCACTTCCCTGGGCAGATTATTCCAATGGCTGATTGTTCTCAATGGGAAAAATTTTCCTCTTGTCTCCAACTGGAATTTCTCCAGGAGTAACCTGTACCCAGTAGCCCTCATATGGTTCATGTGACTCTGTAAAAAGGGTGTCTCCATCTCTGTAGCCACTTTTTAAATACTGGAACACAGTGATAAAGTCTCCTTTAAGCCTTCTCTTCTCAAGTCTGAACAAACCCACTTCTCTCAGACGTGGCAGGCTTTCCAGGCCTTCGATCATCTTTGTAGCCCTTCCCTTCACCCCCTCCAGATTAGCCACATCTCTTTTGTATTGCAGGGACCAAAACTGAGCACAGTATTCCAGGTGTAGCCTGACAAGCACTGAACATGATAATTACTTATCTCTGCTGGTGATGCCCTTGCTGATGCAACCCAGCATCCTGCTGGCTTTATTTTTTTATTGCCACAGCAGCACACTGTTCAGCTCATGGTTCACCAGGACACCACGGTCCCTGAGCTGCTCCCCAGCCAGGCAGATCACAGCCTGTCCTGCACTCCTGAATTATGTTTTCCCAGATGCATTTCCTAAGTGCAGAGTTTTAGGCTTACTAGGTGCTGATACTCATAAAATATTTGTGAAACTAGACTTCTGTTCAACCAAGTATGGGAAGCCTGGTTCTCTGCAGAATCACCTGTGGTGTTTGCATGGCACTTCAGCACAGAGCAGTGGGAGGGCTGTAAGCAGCTCATGCTTCCACGTTCACTCAGCTGCCTGTTATGCCCAGTAAAAGAGGAAAAACAGAGGTGAGCTCCTGTGCTTGAGAAGTCTGGGAATGGGTGAGGGAGAGGGTTGAGCTAGATAGCCTGACTTCCAGTGGAGTGGGAGAAAAAGGAGAATTTTTAGCTCTACCACCAATGTGAATTGCAGGTGCTGTGAATGTGAGCAGTATGGTTCTGGCCCTTGGCAAAATCAGAGCAGTTGGAAAGACGAGGGCTAGAAATGAGAGGGCGATCCTGGATTAGACCCAAGGCCCCTTGAAATCATAATTGATCCTTGTCCTATATACTTAGTGGTTTCATGGTGCTGGGTAGTATCATGATTCTGTGTTGGGTTAGCTATCAAAATTGTGGTAGTGCTATTGCCTACAGTAAACCCTACTGACAGGCAGGTATTACCCAAGCTTTGCACCTATGCAGATGAGAACAGATACAGTGAGTGTGGCCAAAAACTCTAGTGGAGTTTAAATTGGTAGTGTCCTACTTCAGTCTTACAAGATGGCTAAATATAGGTGCACATATACATACCTACAAAGCTTTTATTTCACATGGTGTGTAAGTCTAAAGATTATGACTGTAATGCTTTTGTGTCAATTTACTGATGTCCTTTGGTTTTGGACTGAAAGCCCACAGTGAGGTTTCAGAATGGGCAGCCTTCCCACCCACTCAGAGGGTGTGAAGTAGGGTTTGTTTATGCTACCACTATGCTGAGAATGAGCTGGGGTCCTGTGCTAGTGTCTGTCCTCTTATATCTGAGCAGTCTG